TTATTATTAATTCAGGTACAAGCTCTCCCTCCTCTGCGAGGACAGATCTGCACGTTCCCCCCCCCCCAATAGCTAGCAATCCAAAACAGCCCAGTGGAGCCTGAGCGGTGGGTGTTGCCTTCTGACACACTTCTGGTGATGTCAGGGGGTGTGGCATATGCAAATGAGTTATGCTAATGAGCTCCTGCACCTCTTTTCCCACAAAATGACCCCTGTATGAGGGTCACGTGACAATTTAGGGTTGCCACCCTCCAGCTTAGGACTGGAAACCTCCAGGAATTAGAGCTCATATCCAGATGACGGAGGGCACTTCCCCTGGAGGAAATGGGAGCTTTGGAAGGTGGACTGTATGGCGTCACCTCTCCGCTGAGCTCATGCCCCTCCCCCAACTCCAACTTCCCCAGGCAGGGATGCCAGCCTCCAGGTGGGACTTGGAGATTCCCTGGAATTACAGCTCATCGCCAGACTAGAGTTTAGTTCCCCGGCGGAAAAAATGGATGCTTTGGCCTTGTGCCCCACTGAGGTCCCCCTGTCCTCCCCAGGCTCCACCCCCAAATCTCCAGGAGTTCCCCAATCTGGAGCTGGCAACCTTGCCCCCCCCACACCCCTCCAATGGCCAGGGGGGACCTGGCAACCCTATCCCCCGGTTCCACCCCACAAATCTCCAGGAATATTCCTAGCAACCCTGTGCCACATCTGTATGTACATGGGGGGTGGGGTGGTAAAAGCAGCTGTGCCCTTATTACTCACATGGTGAAGTTGTGAATGAAGGCCCCTTTCGGGATCTGGACGTCGAAGACCAGGTTCTGCGCATGCTTGGCATTGTTCGCCACTTTGGCCTGGACCATCGTGTTGGCCAGCCGAGACGTGATGACCGACTGGACCTTGTAGCTATAGAGGATGATGTTGTCGTCGCCCTGCACCTGTGGATACCAAAGCACTGAGATGGACTCAGACAAGGATGGAGAAATCTCAAATCCCAGGTAGAGTTTCCCCAGAGCAATGCTTCATTACAGCCCGCTGACCTGGTTAGCCATAAGAATATAAGGGAAGCCTTATATTGGTGGATCAGGCCAATCCAATTATGTTGGATCAGGCCAATAGCCCATCCTGTCCAAGGCTCTGAGTCACATGGTGGCCAAAAATACCAGGTGCCATCAGGAGGTCCACCAGCAGGGCCATAAGAACACAAGAGAAGCCATGTTGGATCAGGCCAATGGCCCATCCAATCCAACACTCTGTGTCACACAGTGGCCAAAACCCAGGTGCCCTCAGGAGGTCCACCAGCAGGGCCATAAGAACACAAGAGAAGCCATGTTGGATCAGGCCAGTGGCCCATCCAATCCAACACTCTGTGTCACACAGTGGCCAAAACCCAGGTGCCCTCAGGAGGTCCAGCACCCCCCCCCCAAGCCCAGAAGCTCTCCTACTCTTGCCCCCCAAGCACCAAGAATACAGAGCATCACTGCCCCAGACATAAGAACATCAGAGAAGCCATGTTGTAGCAGGTGCCATCAGGTGCCATCAGGAGGTTCACCAGCAGAGCCATTAGAACATAAGAGAAGCCATGTTGGATCAGGGCAGTGGCCCCTCCAGTCCAACACTCTGTGTCACACAGTGGCCAAAACCCAAGTGTTCTCAAGAGGTCCACCAGCGGGGCCAGAATCCTAGAAGCCCTCCCACTCCCCCCCCCCCAAGCATCTAGGAATCACTAGGAACTCTATGGTAAGAACTTCCTTTAAGTCTAAAAATCTCTCTTTTTCTTTTAAAGTTTTCTCCCAAGTATGGTGGCACCCTGCATTTGGCACCAGTTTCTGCCCACCATTCAGGTGAGCATCGGTGGTGATGATCCAGGGCCACAATGACCTCAAATTCTCCTGCCATAAGTGGGCAAATGAGAACCCTACCACCGGCTCAATGAGGTTGGGGACTCCTGCAGTCAGGGGCGTCTCCCCACCACCCTTCCAACCTGCCGGGAACCAACTTGGAGCCATAAGGAAAAGCTTTAATCCTCAGGGGTTCATCTCTGCAGGCTGACAATCAAAATATGTAGACTAACGTTGTTGCCAAGTCATCCCTGGCCACCAGTGGGAGTTGGGGAGAAAGGTTGCCAGCTCCAGTTTAGGAAACTCCTGGAGATTTGGGGATGGAACCTGGGGAGGACAGGGCGCTCTGAGGAGTACAATGCCATAGAGTCCACCCTCCAAAGCATCCATTGTCTCCAGGGGAACTGATCTCTGCAGTCTGCAGATGAGCTGTAATTCCGGGGGATCCCCAGGTCCCACCTGGAGGTTGGCATCCCCAGATGCAGAGTCTTGCTGTCTTCCTTCTTTTTTAAAAAAAATGCTCTGAGCTTGTGATGCTGGGTTTGCCCCTCAGCTGAGACCCACCCACCCCCGGCCGCTGGGTCAGTTTGCATTCCAGCCGTCTCTAGCCAACATTGCACAAGAGAATGGAACTCTTTGAAAATCCGAGCTGGTTAATATCCAGGAAGTCTCGAGAAAACAAGAGCGTTAAGCAAACGGTGGGATTGATTGCCAGGTAATGATTGATGGGGGAGATCACATAAGAACATAACAAGAGCTCTACAGGATCGGACCAGTGGTCCATCTGGTCCAGCATCCCGTCTCACACACTGGCCAATCAGTTCCTCTGGAAGTCCAAAAACAGGGCATAGAGGCCGAGGCCTTCATGAGAATATAAGAAGAGCTTTGTTGGGTCAGACCAGTGGTCCATCTGGTCCAGCATCCTGTCTCACACACTGGCCAATCAGTTCCTCTGGAAGTCCAAAAACAGGGCATAGAGGCCGAGGCCTTCTTGAGAACATAAGAAGGGCCTTGCTGGATCAGACCAGTGGTCCATCTAGTCCAGCATCCTGTCTCACACAGTGGCCAACCAGTTCCTCTGGAGGGCCAACAACAGGGCATAGAGGCCGAGGCCTTCTTGAGAACTTAAGAAGGGCCTTGCTGGATCGGACAATCTAGTCCAGCATCCTGCTTCACTCAGTGGCCAATCAGTTCCATTGGAGAGCCAACAACAGGGTGTAAAGACTGAGGCCTTCCCCGATGTTGCCTCCTGGCACTGGGATCCAGAGGTTGATTGCCTCTGAGCATGAAGTTTCCTTTTAGTCACCATAGCTAGTAGGCACGGACAGACCTCTCCTCCGTGAATCTATCCAGTCCCCTTTTAAATCTGTCCATGCCTGTGGCCATCACTACATCCTCTGGCAGCAAAGTCCACATTTTACCACTCTCTGTGTTAAGAAGTATTCCTTTTTGCCTGTCCTGAACCTACTGCCCATCGGCTTTGTTGGATGCCCTCGAGTTCTCGTCTTTGGGGAGAGGGAGAGGAAGTTGGCTCTGTCAACTCTTTTCGCCCTGTGCATAATTTTATAACCTTCTATCCTCTTCCCCCTTAGCCGTCTCTTTTCTAAACTGAAAAGTTTCCACACTGAAAAGTCACCTTTGCAATAGAACAACTAGATTTGAGTCCAGTAGCACAGAGACCCAACAAGATTTTCAGGGTATAAGTTTTCAAGAGTCAAAGCTAGAAGGATGCTTGACGTTATGTATTGTGATATATGCAGGGGTCATTTTGTAGAAAAAGAGGTGCAGGAACTCATTAGCATAACTTATTAGCATAATTTATTTGCATATGTCACACCCCATGACATCACCGGAAGTGTGTCAGAAGGCAACACCCACCACTCAGGCTCCACTGGACTGTTTTGGATTGCTAGCTATGGGGGGTGGACGTGCAGATCGGCCCTCACAGAGGAGGGGGAGCTTATACCTGAAGGGGGGGGGGCTCTGCAACTTACCTGGCTGCTTCTTGCTCCTCGTGATCCGACTGTGGGCTGCTGGAAGCAGGGGGCGGGGCTTGTTGCATGTGCCCCCCCCTGGGCTCATTACTGCTGGAGCTCCGCTCCTGTGCGCTCCCGCAGGAAATGACCCCTGTTATGGATAGTCTGAACTGTAGAATGAGCCTGAGCTTCAGTCACAAGCTCCATAGACTCTCAGTATCCTGAAATCGACAGCCTGATTGGCTGCCGTTGTGCAATGGACCAATCAGGGAAGACTGTGACTTTCGGCGGGAACAAACCCTATTGGTCCTAAGCACTCACTTATGATTGGACCTTATTGCTCTAGGGGTGTGGCTTAGCAAGTTCCAAACTGTACAGAAGTTGGGGTTATTCTCTGTGTTCTGTGTTGTTATATGTGTTCTAATAAGCTGAAATCACTGATTAAAGAAAGAGCTGCCTGATCTTGATTTATAACACATTGACTCTCAGAAGCTGATGTCCTGAAAATCCTGTTGTTCTCTAAGGTGCTACCAGTCTTGAATCTAGCTGTTCTACTTCGGATCAACATGGCCACCCTCTGAAACGATCGCCATTGCAGAAGAGTTAGGGCTTCCAAATCGGGCCGGGGGTCAGGGAAACCCCCGCTTTGGAAGCCCGATTTCTGCCGCGGCGGAATCGGGCCCTGGGGGAACCCCACCTTCGGAGTGCGCGTCACTAGGAAGTGACGTAGGCACGCCGGGCACGCTGGGGGCGGGGCCATGGCCATACAAGGGAAAACTCTATGGTTTTCCC